TTTTTTTTTTTTTTGGTATAGTTCTTGTGTGTATTCTTGCCACCTCTTCTTAATATCTTCTGCTTCTCTTAGGTTCATACAATTTCTGTCATTTATTGTGTCCATCTTTGCATAAAATGCTCCCTTGGGTATCTGTAATTTTCTTGAAAAAATCTCTAGTCTTTCCCATTCTATTGTTTTCCTCTATTTCTTCGCATTTATCACTGAGGAAGTCTTTCTTACCTCTCCTTGCTATTCTTTGGAACTCTGCATTCAGATGGATATATCGTTCCTTTCCTCCTTTGCTTTTAGTGTCTCTTCTTTTCTCAGCTATTTGTAAGTCCTCCTAGACAACCACTTTGCCTTTTTTACATTTCTTTTTTTGGGGGATTGTCTTGATCCCTGCCTCCTGTACATTGTCATGAACCTCTGTCCATAGTGAACATTGAACTATGGATGGAGGTTCGTGATGTTGTACAGGAGGCAGTGATCAAGTCCATCCCCAAGAAAAAAAAAAAAAAAAAACTGCCCTTAGCTTTAGAATTGACGTACAGCAGTTTGTATAGTATCTTGCACACAGTAGGTACTAATTAAATATTTGTCAAAAGAATGAACATAACAGCTTAACATCAATGGAAAGAATGGCTGATAAGCTCCAACCATAGAATCTCTAATCATAGAATTCTTTTTAAAGAAAAACAAAACCAAAACCCAAAGACAAATCTGCTTCAATTTTTTCTTTTGCATATGAATAATTCAGTTAAAAAAGAAAAAAAAAAACACTTTAAACATTTAAACCCTGCCAACCCAAAAGAAAATTTAAAAAGAGAAAAGCTAAGCTAGAGTGAGTCACTAGGCAGTCTTTTAAGAACAATCACATTAATAGCAACATGTCACAGGCAGAATTTGAAATCAAATTTCCTAGCCAGCAATTGATATGGTGATTAAAAATCACAAACGAACTTGGAATGATTATATTTGATATATTGCCTTTGGGGATATGATACCATAACAGGGTTTGTTACCATCAGTCTTCTGAGTCAGAAAGACAGCTGCAAAGGAATTGCTTTGTACTGCTGCCTGGAGATGAATCTAATGTTTTGTTTTCTATTATAATAACTATAAACTTGGGGCTTACTTATGTTGGCTCTCACAAGAACACTGATTTGATATCTTTTTTTGATGCTGTTGTTTAAATTTTTATATTTGGATAGCTTCTGGGGAAACAGAGCTAAGTAATCAAGAGAGAAAGCTTGAGGGGCCACTGTATAGATTTGTGCATATAAATAGGTCTTGTATGTCTTTGTGATTTGCCATCCATGAATAATTGGGGACACTCAAAAGTTATAGGCAGAGGAAATAAACCTTTGAAAATTTGAAGTTTTGTCTCTGAAAATAAATTTTTCTTGATAAATTAGGTGCCTTAGTGACTGTGAGTCATCCCATGCCAGGACTTCATTCATTATTTTCAAATGGCTGCCACAGGGGAGATTCAATGCTGAGAAATTCAAACAGAAAATGAGCATGTCTTTAGGGGAACAAAGTTTCCAATTTGTATATAACTGCATATAATTTGTAATAGTATTACTCAAATCTAGAGCAAAGGAAATTATTAAATAGTAGAATTAAGAATATTGGCACAATTAATAATTGTGGAAAACAATTATTACTAGCTATCTAATGAAAACACAACTTTGCCTCAAAATAAAAGCTAATTTTTCTATATGCCCATTCAATTTAGTTAGGTCAACCATCAACTTAAATCAGGACTGAAATCAGTAAAATACAATCTTAAACTACACTCTGTATGTGGAAAACACTGTTATATATTGTTTATATATAGCAAAAAAGAACAAAACTGGATTTTATGTGCTCAAGTTTTATTAAAGTGATGTGACAAAATTATAATGCTAGATAAATAATGTTCGTAGTGGAAGCCAGGGTAAATCTTGAAGTTACAGCCATTTTGTAATAGAAAAATCCATTATATAGGCCAATTGTAAAGATTACAATGAAGCAAAAAACACTGATTTGAAAACAAAAACAACAGCACAATATTTTCCTTTATGTCTGACTTTGGGTTAATACCATCTTGATTTCTGAATTACTGGATTGAGTCAGAATATGAACAGATACTGCTAAAACAGCTGCTTCGAGAACATCTTTATATACCAATAATGTTTACATTTTTACAAAACCTAGTTTAATCCACACGTAGGCTGTATCTGCTTGCTATTCAAGTTTTTAATACTACCTTTCCTCTATTACTACAATATTTAAGATGACTAGCTGAGTCCAATTTAACTAAAAAGAAGAAAAGTTTCCAAACACAGTGGAGACAGGTATGGTCTGAACAAAGAACACAAGAATCAGGAATGCATGGATACAAGTTCCAGAACTAAGAATGACTTCTTTCATGGTCTCATGCTAAACTTTTAAAATTCTGCCATCTGTTAAATGAGAAGAAATTGGCTATTTACTGAATACGTTGAAGCAAAATAACTTGTTATGTTTAAAATGTCACATATAGAGTAGGCATTAAGTTTTCACATTTGCAAAGCTCTTACATAAATAAGGTACAAATGATATCACTTTAAATTTCATCTATTAAACCCTATAAGATATATCATTGCATAGGTAACAGATCTGTTTTGATTTGTGGAGCAAGACTTTTTTTCTGACAATGCTGATATTGTCACCAAGGGGAAATAAATCTTGCAACCCATCGTGTAATGAGGAAAGAATCTCAAAGTGTACGTACCACATTATCTGCAGATACTGCATGGTGGTTCTCTTCCTTATGAGCCCTTGCCTCATTTGGAACAACTTCATTTGACTCCTCTATGGAAACAAAGAAGGCCATAATTTCATTTTTCATTCCTTAAATCTTTATTGCAAACTTTTTTTTCAAAATAACTTTAATAATTTCTCTATTGTAAAAAGACACAAATGGCAATTCTACTTCAGTGTATTCTAAGAAAATAAGTGTGGATGGGTTCAAATTTAAAGATGGTCATCACTGTGATGTTTATAATTGAAAAATCTGAAGCGTTTATATGGTTAACAATAGAGGCTTGGATAAATCATGTGGGGCTCATCCTTAAATAAATGCTATAAAAGAACTAAAAATGAAGTAGAAGAATAGTTGATATTAAAGAAAATCTTCATATCTATTGGAAAGAGAAAAACTGAAGGTGACAAAATCTACTATGTAGGTACACTGTGATCTTAATTTTGTTTAAGAGAAAAAGCATATATTTTCATGGAGAAAAAAAAGACTGACACTATTTACACCAAGGCATTGCCATTATTATTTCTGAATGGAATTACAGGCAACTTTTATTACTCTTCATTTTGTCTAATTTACTTGCTTTGATAATTCTTATTTTCTTTCATTTGCTTATTTATATTTAAATATTTTCTACAATAAAAATGTAGTGCTCATTTTAATAAGAAAAAAGTGATAAAAATAATTTTCAAATACATGATATAAAACTATAAATATAGTACATTTTCAAATTTGTAATAAAGGATGTGTATATGAGTATACACAGACACACATAAACAATCCTGTATATATGCAAAGAGAAAGCACTGGCATAAATATTTTCTCACCCCCATTTCAGGAATGTATATCACTGAGAGGTATGATTTTTTTTCTATTTTTTTTCATTTTATGTTGCAATATTTTCTATAATGAACGTGTATTCATTTTATGATCAAAAGTTAGTACTCTCATACTGTAGGGGGAGTGGCCAAGATGAGCTAACCTCCTCTCATGGACACACCAACACTGCAACTATTTACAGAGCAACTACCCTTGAGAGCAATATGAGAACAAGCAGAAAGTATTAACTACTGAAAATACAATGAAGGGGTCACAAGAAGAGGAATGAGAGGGGTGAAGACACAGTACAGTGAAGACCCATACCCTTGGGTAAGATAACAGGAGGATAACTATAATTGCAGAGATTCTCCCCCAAGGGGAGAGGGGTCTGAACCACACATTAGGCTCTCCAGTCTAGGAGTTTTGCACTGGGAAGATGAGCCCTCAGAATGTTTGACTTTGAAGTGCAGCAGGGCTTACATTCAAGAGAGTCAGAGGGCTGCAGGGAAAATACTTCATTCATAAAGGGTACACAAAATCTCACCCTCCAAGATCCGGGGCAGAAGCAGTCATTTGAAAGGAGCTTCAGTTCTGATCTTGAAAATCTTCCCGGAGGCAGGAGGCAAATGAAACTCCCCTTGGAAACATAGAAGCTAGCAGTAGCCATTTGTGGGAGTTCATCCCACCATAAGTACACTGGTGCTGGTAAGCACTATTTTGGAATCCCCCCTCTAGCTTATTCTTGCCAGGACTCACCCCACCCCCAGTTCTGAGATGCCCCAGGCCAAACAGCTAGCCAGGTGGGGACACAGTCTCACCCTCCAGCAGACTGACTGCTTTAGGAGTTCTTAAACTCCTAGTTGCTCCAGGACCTGGCCACATCTACCAGAATGCCCAGGACCTGGCCAAGGTCACCAGTGCACTTGTACTAACCCTAGGACTCCCAGGGCCCTGAAGCCAGAGACTGTGGGACCCAACTCTGTTCACCAGTGAATGGCACTTTTGACACTTTTATTCAACATGATATTGGAAGTCCTAACCACAGCAATCAGATAAGAAAAAGAAATAAAAGATATCCAAATTTGAAAGGAACAAGGAAAATTGCTATTATTTAAAGATGTTAAGATACTGTACATAGAAAATGCTAAAGTGAAAGTGAAGTCACTCAGTCATGTCTGACTCTTTGAGATCCCATGGACTGTAGCCTACCAGGCTCCTCCATCCATGGGGTTTTCCAGGCAAGACTACTGGAGTGGGCTGTCCTTTCCTTCTCCAGGGGAGCTTCCTGACCCAGGGATTGAATCTGGGTCTCCTGCATTGCAGACAGATGCTTTACCATCTGAGCCACCTAAAGAAACCATCAAAAAGTACTAGGACTCATCAATGAATTTGGTAAAGTTGCAGGACAGACAATTAATATGCAGAGATCTGTTGTGTTTCTATACACTAACAGTGGATTAGCAGAAAGAGAACTTATGAAAACAATCCCATTCACAATCACATCAAGAAGCATAAATTACCAGGGAATATATCTAGCTAAGGAGGTAAAAGATCTATGCTCTAAAATTATAAGATACTGAAGAAAGAAATTGAAGATGACAAAACAAATGGAAAGAAATTCTGTGTTCATGGGTTGGAAGAATTAGTATTGTTAAAAGAACTATACTCTGCAAGGTAATCTACAGATTCAACATGTTCCCTAACAAAATACCAATGGCATTTTTTTTTTACCAATGGCATTTTTTAAAGAACTAGAAATATTTCTAAAATTAGTATGGAAACACAAACAACCCTGAATAGGAGAAACAATCTTAATAGAACAACAACAAAAAAAATCATGCTCTGTGATTTCATACTATACTACAAAGCTACAGTATTCAACAGTAAGTTTCTATCACAAACACAGATACATAGATCAACAGAACCAAATAGAGAACCCAGAAACGAACCCACACTTATATGGGCAATTAACTTATGACAAGGGAGGCAAGAATATACAATGGAGAAAGTACAGCTTCTACAATAAATACTATTGAAAAAACTGGCCAGCTACTTTGAAAAGAATCAAAATAGACTATTTTCTCACAGCATATACAAAACCCAAAACAAATTAAAGATGTACCTGTAATATCTGAAACCATAAAACTTCTACAAGAAAATATAGGTAATTTGCTCCTTGATATCAGTTTCAGCAATATTTTTTGGATATATATCCTCAATCAAGGAAAACAAAAGTAAAAATAAACAAATAAGACTACATCAAAATAAAAGTTTTCACACAGTGAAGGAAACTCAATATAATGAAAAGGTCACCTACTGAAATGGGACAAATTATTTGCAAAGGATGTATCTGATAAGGGATTAAGATCCAAAATATACAAAGATCTCATAGAACTCGATATAAAAAATACAAACAACCCAATGAAAAACTGACATTTTTCAGTGAGTAGACATTTTTCCGAAGAAAACATACAGATGACCAACAAGAAAAGATGGTTAATATCACTAATCATCAGGGAAATGCAAATCACAACAGTGAGATATCACTTCACATCTGTCAGAATGCCTGTTATCAAGACAAGAAATAACAACTGTTGGCCAGGATGTGGAGAAAAGGGCACCCTCCTGCACTGTTGGTGGGAATGTACATTGGTGCTGGCAGAAAATATGGATAACAGCATGAAGACTCCTCAAAAATTAAAAATAATACTACCATGTAGTCTTGTTGCTGTTGTTCAGTTGCTCAGTCATGTCCAACTTCTTTGGACTGCAGCATGCCAGGCCTTCCTGTCCTTCACCATCTCACTGAGCTTGCTCAGACTCATGTCCATGGTGTCAGTGATGCCAACCAACAATCTCATCTTCTATCATTCCCTTCTCTTCCTGCCTTCAATCTTTCCCAGCATCTGGGTCTTTTCTAATGAGTCTGCTCTTTGCATCAGGTGGCCAAAGTTTTAGAACTTGGGCTTCAGCATCAGTCCTTCGAATAGATATTCAGCGTTGATTTCCCTTAGGACTGACTGGTTTGATCTCTGTGCAATCCAAGGGACTCTCAAGAGTCTTCTCCAGCACCACAATTCAAAAGCATCAATACTTCAGTGCCCAGCCTTCTTCATGGTCCAACTCACATCTGTACATGACTACAGACAGTAGCTTTGACTATAGGAACCTTTGTCAGCAAAGTAACGTAACATGGCTGTGTGTTATAAATGAAAATTTTTAGGAGAGTAAATCCTAAGAGCTCTCATTGCAAGGAAAATTTGCTTTCTATTTCTTTAACATTTTTTTCTATTTGAGGTGAGGGGCTTTTGCAAAACTTTTGTGGTAATCATTTGATGATGTATGCAATTCAAACCATTATGTTGTACACCTTTAACTTATACCGTGTTGTATGTCAATTATATTTCAACAAAACGAAAAAGAAGTTAGCAAACTGTAAATTTGAATGAGTAGTCAATGCCTGACTGTCACACTAAATAACAATAAAACAGCAATGAAATTTAAAAAAAAAGCTCAGTAGTTTAAAAATGAGAAAAGAAAAAAATTAAAAAAAGAAAATCAATTCAGAAAAATCAGTCTACTAAAAAGCTTCATGCTGAGCTAGGAGAAGCGGCTAATTCACAGCATAGTGTACCTACAAGATAATCATTTATCTTAGATTTCCTCCACCTCTACCCCTTATAAAAACAGATGAGTAATGTTTCTCTCTTTTATTTCTGAACACCATATCATGAACATTATTTGGATAAATTAGTGGAAGTTCTCAGTTCCTTGGTAATGAATAATTTATTTCACCAGAGAAAGCAGAACAAAATAGTTATCAATTCTCCTAAGATTTTTTGAGTCCATCCCTTCCCATGGAAAGACAAATGAGTCTCTGTACGAACATGGAGGATGACTAGAAGGTAGTCACTGCTCATCCAGGAACTCACATATGAGTGCATGGAGAACAAAAGATATTCAGGGAAAATTTACCAGAGTTTTAATACAAAGTCTACTATGAGCTCATTTTTTTTTTTCTAGAAAAGAGTGGTTTCTAGGTTTCCAGTTCAAGATGGCATAATAAAAGGACATGTGCTCATCTCCCTCCTGCAAGAGGGCAAAAGCACCAAAATTGCAACCTAGTTGTTAAGCAATCATCTACAGGAGAACACTGGAACCCACTCCCCCTCCCCCCAAAAAAGATACCCCAAGTCCAAAGTCAAAGAAAAAGCCACAACAGGACAGTAGGAGG